CACTCAGAAAATGCCGGGACGAATACCTTCTCAATAGCCCAAGACTATTGGGCACTGCCACGACGAAGCCTAGGACTGAGGCTCGGGCGTGTCGCTGCCCCCAAACCGTCTCTTCACTGCATCTCCTTTGCAATCACGACGTCAGTGTCGTCGGAATCTAGAGCAATCTAACGGGAGATTTCAATGTCCTCGTGGGAGGTCTATGTAGCTGCGGTGTCAAGTCCCGTTCCCCAATCCTGCTCCAAAGGTCGGACAATTCTGTATAATTATTTGAGCATTACGTGATTTTTGTTTAAAACTTAATGGTAATCATATTTAATAGGAGTTGAAGATAGTTAAAAACGTTAATTGCTCGCTCTTTTTTGCAAAATATTTATAATGACATTAGGGACAGTTTCATTATTTTTATTGATGTCTTGGTGGAGTGTCTACCCAAATTATATTTAATAAAGTGTGTGCATAACCTAACGATTGTAAATAAGGAAAAAAATTGAAAACGAAAATTAAGAAAGTGACATTGGCAAAGTGTGTTCATAATTTGGTGAAGTTTACTTAAATAAACCCCGAACCGAAAGTTTTGATTTGTTTGAACAGGGGTGAAGAAAAAAAAAGAACGCTTGAAAGCTTCTGCGTGAGCTTCGCCGGGGCGCCGTCTGGCGCGCTGTTGGCGCCGGGCGCGGAGCCTGGTGAAAGCTTCGGGGGTGAGGCGGGTCTGGCAAGAGACGTGGAGGGTGGGGCGGAGGGGGGGAGGGGGAAGCTGCAGCGCGCAGTCTCTCGTCGCTAAATTGACCGCGGCCACTTATCGGGCTCAGCCTGAAGGGGACGGGACGAGTCGAGACGAGACGGGACGGAACGGGACGAGACGGAACGGAGAAGGGCAGGCGAAACGGTTAGAGGCTGCCGCACCCTTACGCCTCCGGTCGGTCGCTGGCTGGGTGCAGAACGGCGTTTTCACCGGGCGCTAGCTCTCCCACCCGCGCCTTGGTACTCAGATTGGGCTGCCTCCCACCTCCCACCACCCACTCCCTGCAGGACGTTCTCGCCAGGAAACAAAGCGATAAAATTGAACGTCCAATTTAGGCGAGACCATAACTGCGAGCTCGATCACCGTTTCGGTGGGCGAGCTAGAAGTCTGGGGGAAGTTGTAATTGCCTGCGCCACTGTACTTCTCACCTCTGTCAAGTGGTTCGGTACTTGGCGAGAGAATGAGTGCGTGTACGCCATTCGAATTTTAATGTACAGGATGTCAGATAAGGCTGAAAGAAGTGAAAATGCTTCCTCGCCGAACGAAACGGAGATACTGTGACTTAAAGGTGTCAACACAGCATACTAAAGTGTACTATATTGTGTAACAGGTTCTAATGATGCATACGCACATTATTTAAAAAAGGAATTCTAAAAGATGTCAAATTCAGAAGAGTACGAATCGTTTTCAAGTACATCGTCTTTGACCAAGAAAGAAAATATTGTTTAGCATGGTAACCTTTAATTTATTTTTGAAAGTGTGAAATTTATCTGATCGTAAAAACTGTTTAGTCGTACAAATGTAAACAATTTTTGCTTTGAAATATAATTCAGATGTTCTGAATTCAATTACTACCTTTATGGTAACACTAGTTCAAACCATCTTTTCTTCTGTTGAGTTGATTGCCAAAGAAAACGCCTGATTCAAATAAAACTCATCATTTAGAATTAATATGAATTATTCTGAGCTTATTTAGGATATTAATAATTTTCAAATTGAATTAGGTATGTTTCTTTTTTGAAAGTGAGAAAATTGCAACCCGAGCAAAGCCCTTTTAAAAGAAATCTAATGAATACATTACTTAATTTAATATATGATATTTCAACCAAATTATTATAAACCAAAGTATTATAAAAATACTTTTATAATATGTCTTTTAAGGTAATAACGTCTATCGGGCCTTATATTAATTCATTTGAAAAATATGGTCAATTTAATACTCCGAAAGTGGTCCCACTCCAATTAATTCGAATTATCAACTTTCTACTGTATACTTTTCATTTTTCCTGAGAACCACTATTATTAAATTAACTGTTTCTCAAATTGTAAGTTTTAGATCAAACATTTCAATAACATTTCCAAACATCTTCCATTTACTTGTGCTTCATGCAGAAAATTCCGTTTAGATTTTGGAAAATGTAGCTATAAGTGTTTACGTCAATGAAATGCATTCTGCCCAAATAATACGAGAATTAGTGAGAAGCCTAACTCGACAGTGTTCTCAAGAGCGTTCTCAACAATGTATGGCAATGTATGGCATGTATACAGATGACCATCAAGCATGGAGGTTAACCGAAACAAGAGGCAGCGAAGATATCAATCTTCTTTGTGTTTCGTTTCTTCAGAAGCGAGTCGTAACTATAAAACGAAATGTCCGCGTTTGTAGAGTAGTGAAGGCATACTCAGAAATGTTATAGCCTCCATAAAAAGAGGCGATAAATATTCACGAGGGTTAAATGTATGAATTCTATTCAAAACTGCCAATTCACATAGGATTTAATATTCCGAAATACCATGTGGAATGTTATGCAGTATTCACGTTTGGTAATGTGCTTACAGCGAATCCAATTTCCCTTATAATTCCAATTGTCTCATCTGCATTTCATCAACCAGTCTCGTTTCCATGGGTGGCTTCGTTTCAGGGCTTGAAAATGAAGTGAAAGCTATGGTTCCTGCAGAATAAAGCTAATATTATGCCATATGTTTTTTGTTTGGAAAAGGGAATCTTTCTGACTTTCTTCGACAAAGCTAATCCAAACTTTTTCCAATTTTTTGCACTCAGACTTAAACCCAAAAAGAAATACTCAAAATTCAATATTTTGGACTCAACCAGTTTGGAAATGAAATGTGTATATTTAACTTATTTTCTAGTATTTTTACATTTTAGTAATACATATTTCATGTCAATTTAATGTATGGAAGTTTCTTTTTGTCCTATGAAATACTTCAATCTTCTCAATGTTCGTCATTGAATAAGTAAAATTAAGCTAATAGTACTTACTTGTTGGTCACACACGTTAAGCAAAAAATTCAAACATGATATCGATTTCGAAAAGTAATCTCTACTTCTTTCAATACTTTTATTATTTATAAAAACGAATTTACAAAATGTTATGGGTTTTGAGACACTGTTCTACACAAAACATGTTAAAATCTGGAAGTTATTTAGAAGTTATGCGTTTCGAAGAAGTGTGACACTTTGAAGTGAGAGAAGGTCCACCTAAAAAAAATTCAACTTGTAGCTAAATTTGTGAACATTACGATATTACCCAGCTATTACATTAATTTTAATGAGTCTCATCAAATCAGTTCGACACCTTTCACAGGTTGAATAGTCAAATTTATACGAAAATTATAGAACCTGTAGTGATTTTCTTTTAAGAGGATAAACTTACGATATTCGTAAAGAAACATCTTTCGATATTTATTTCGTAAATAACTATTATTTTTGAATCCATTTAATATTGCAGATGGATAAAATATTAGGTGAATATCACTCAAATAGGGGATTAGGATATATATAATTATTTATTATACCTTGACATGTTAGCTGCACCAAGGCAAGTTGGTCAAAGTGACCCTTTGACTTCTCGAAAGGTTCACGTTCTAGTACTGAAAGAAACAAGTAGATGGTACTTTTTTGACTAAGGACAAAGTAAAACTCTTACTCCATCAATCCATCAACTCCTGGTTTATAAAGCATCAACAATTTGCCAGAGAGGGAGAAGGAAAGTCATCGTTCAAGACAAGTTGCGCGAAAACATATGTATCGTCAATATGATGTATAGATAATATGAGAGGTGAATTAACAAGCTGTTCAAACAACTTTTTCACCTTCTTCCTTGTCCACGAGAGATTTTTCAGTGCTAAAATGTAAAAATCTTTGTTTGTGTGAGCATCTGATGCCAAATTATTCTGGGTTTTCCAAACAACCCACAAAACGTAATTTCTTTTCTCTTTCCCAAAACAACTAGGCGTAAAACGTAGCAAACTTTTAAATCCCATATTAAATCCGCCATTTATAGTATAATGCCAAGCCATTGCATTTCGCGGTTTTGTGACACGATTACAGCCTCCGAACTGCTTTAATATCGCTTGCATATGATGAAATTAATTTTTTGCTGCACGTTCACTCCTATACTTTTAATGTGAACAAATTCAGCGAATAAAGTAACTCACAAATCGATGACACATTTTAATATACTACTTCTCAATGCAAATTAATTCTTCTTGAACATGAGTATGACAGTCAGTGAAATTCCGCAGCAGGAACATTATAAATTGAATTTTTCTATAATTTGTGAACGTGAACACGAAATTTTACATTCAGTTATTAAAATTGTATATGATTTAAAATTAAATAATGCACTCTCGAACGTCCCGTTAACACTATCTCCCCGCTCGTGGGAAACATATTGCTCACGGACTGTAGCATGTTCCCTGAAACAAGTAAAATTTTGAAAAATTTTTTTCAGAACAGTTCAATAACAAATCCTATAACTAAGCTTCATAATTTCAAATTATAAAATTTAAAAAAAATATTAATTAGCCTGAATGTAATATTTCTTTCTTTATTTTTTACACCCAAACCTGTGTAGTTCTAAAATATTTTTATCCCTTAATTTTTTATATATTTATCCTTATTGAGAAGAACTCCGGTGATTTAACCAATGAAAAGGGTTATGTCTGCCGCCGCAGTTTTGTGGAAACGTAGCAAAAGAGAAGGTGATTTACCATCGACATCACTTAACTGCTAGTTTAGCTAATGTTATTGACAAGACGGTACTAAATCATTATGTTCGTGCTTGTGGTGTCTCTCTCCAATACGAAGGTTAGTGTGCATGCAGAGGAGAAAGCCGGCTTCCATCTTTACATCCTCTCTTTCCCAGGCTCATGGCCCCAGAGGTGGCTCGTCGTTGCCTTGTGTGATGGCAGATGTGATCACGCATGATGACACGAGTGCTGAATTGTCATGATTGTGTTGCAGCGGCGCAGCGAGCCACCAGCTGTCGGCGGCCGCTCTGCTGCCGTCGCCCGACGGCTCGCGCCACCCGCTCGATGTGTACGACTTCGCCGAGGAGGAGCTGGGCCACCGCGGCCCACGGCCCGCGCCCCCCGGCCTCTGGGACTGCCTCGTGGGCTGCCGC